CCGAACATCAGAGACCGCATTTGCAAGATGCAGCCGTTGGATATTCCACTGTGGAAATGGGAAGATATCACGATGGATTTTATCACGAAGCTTCCCAGGACCGCACGTGGAGTGGATTCGATTTGGGTCATCGTGGATAGATTGACCAAGAGTGCTCACTTTATTCCGATTCAGGAGAGCATATCGGCCGAAAAATTAGCCGACATCTATATCAGGGAGATTGTGGCACGACATGGGGTGCCAGTATCGGTGATCTCGGACAGGGATGTGCGTTTTACTTCCAGATTTTGGAAGAAATTCCATGACGAGTTGGGCACTCGTCTGCATTTTAGCACCGCCTTTCACCCGCAGACGGATGGCCAGAGCGAGCGGACCATCCAGACTCTGGAGGATATGCTGCGGGCGTGCGTGCTAGACTTCGGTGGTAGCTGGGATACCTATCTTCCCCTGGCTGAGTTCTCCCACAACAACAACTATCACGCGAGTATCGACTGCCCTCCCTTCGAGATGCTGTACGGACGGAGGTGTAGGACCCCGATATGCTGGGGTGAAGTTGGCCAAAGGGTCATGGGGAGCACCGAAGTGGTGCTCAAGACGACCGAGAGGATCCAGCAGGTCCGGAGCAGGCTTCAAACTGCTCAGAGTCGGCAGAAAAGTTATGCCGACAAGCGTCGATCCGATTTGGAGTTCCAAGTCGGGGATATGGTTCTCCTGAAGGTGTCGCCTTGGAAAGGCATCATACGATTCAGGAAGCGGGGCAAGTTGGGCCCGCGATTCATCGGACCGTTCAGGGTCGTAGCCCGGGTGGGCAAGGTGGCGTACAGGTTGGATCTGCCAGCCGAGCTCAGCCAGATCCACAACACTTTCCATGTTTCACAGTTGCGGAAGTGCTTAGTGGACGATTCACCAGTAGTGCCTTTGGAGGATATTCAGGTTGATGACAGCCTGAATTACATTGAGCGCCCAGTCGCAATCCTCGACAGGAAATCGAAGGATTTGAGGAACAAGAGAGTGGAGTTAGTGAAGGTGCAATGGCAGCACCGCAAGGGTTCGGAATGGACTTGGGAGCTGATGGACGAGATGATGGAGCATTACCCCGAGCTGTTTCAGGATCGAGCAGCAGACTTCGAGGACGAAGTCTAAAATAAGTGGGGGAGATTTGTAGCACCTGGTTTCTGGTATGTAAATCTTATTCGAATATTGCCTATTTTAGCCTTGGACTCGGCGAGTCATAGGTCCGACTCGCCGAGTAGAGACGTGACCCAGGTCACGTTTTAAGTTGGCGACTCGGCGAGTCCATATCCTGGACTCGGCGAGTCGCCGCTGTTGGATGAAACCCTAAGTTCCAGGGGTTTGCACCCTATTTAAACGACTTAACTGCCCCAAGCCAGCCCTCATTCACCCTTAGAGCCCTGTATCCCTCGTTCTAAGCTGTTCCTTGAGAGTTTGAGGCTATTGTGTGTGTTTTTGAAGGTTTTGAAGGAGGAAGGAAGTAGATCCAGAAGAAGGGAAGCCATCCAGGCAACTATTGTGTCTTCCAGCAGTTCCCTTGAGGTATAACCCGTTTTCCCCATGATTCTATGCTTAAAACTTCATTTGGGTCTTTCTTGGTCAAATCCCCAAGCTTGTATGTGCATTATATGTCGTAATAAGATGTTTGGCCTCTGGATCTAGGCAAGATTGAGCTCCAGGAGCTCAGATCTGTTAGCTTTATGGCCCCATGTTGCTTGTTAGCCCTAGATCTACCCTTTTAAGGCATTTTGAGCCCTAAAATCCATATTGGTGAATATCCACACGTAAAGTTGGAAACTTTACGTGTGATTTGTGTCCTAGAAGTCCAGATCTATGAATGGCATGGACTGGAATCGAGCAAATCGGTGTATTTGGTGGATGCATGGCGGCGACTCGGCGAGTCGTATATGTGACTCGGCGAGTCTGGTCGCGAGTCACCGAATTGGTCCCTTTATGATGTATCGAGTTTGAGCCGTGAGTCACAGGGGGTGACTCGGTGAGTTGGGAGCTGAACTCACCCATGTTAGGACTCGGCGAGTCAATGCCCTGACTCGGCGAGTCCAAGGCAATCTTCATAGATCAAGAACAGACTCGGCGAGTTGTTCATACAACTCGGCGAGTCTTAGCATAAGTGTTCTTCGGATGAAGATGAACTCGACGAGTTGTTCATACAACTCGGCGAGTAGGATGAAGGGGTTGAATGTCAGTTTAGGAGATGAACTCGTCGAGTCATAGCCTAACTCGACGAGTAGAATCAGGGACCCAGGACAATTGTCTGGACAGGGACTCGGCGAGTTGGAGAGCCAACTCGGCGAGTCGGGTCAACTAAAAGTTGACTCTGATTTGACTTAGGGCTAGACCAGGGGTAAATGGTCTTTTTACCCAAAGGACAGTTAGCAGTGTATGATTAAGTATATTGTGGGAATTACAGCCGGGGAGTTTCCGGAGCAGCAGCAATAGTAGTAGGTGATCAATTCCCACACAGACCAGCAGTTATTTCGAGGTGAGTTTCCTTTCCAGTAGGAATGGGTCTAAGGCACCAAGGCCAACCCGTGTAGGCGAGATGTTAGTACTAGAGATGTGGGCCGAGCCCGTACCTCTGGGTTTAGTCAAGTATGAAATATGTGTTAATATGGTAGAGTTGCTTATACTTGTTGTCTGCGTGATACTTGTATGTTATGGGTTAGCGGTTGAGTGTGGGCAGGGCCCGTATCTCTCCGAGGTTGGAGTGTGGGCTAGGCCCGTATCTCCCCGATAGCGAAGTGTGGGCAGGGTCCGTATCTTCATAAGTGTGGGCGAGGCCCGTATCTCCCGGCTAGCGAAGTGTGGGCAGAGCCCGTATCTTCCCGAGGGTGGGCAAGGCCCGTAACTCCTAGCTGAACATTGTTTGTTATATGTATGCATGGTATGAGTATTATGGGGGAACTCACTAAGTTTTGTGCTTACAGTTTCAGTTTTGGTTTCAGGTACCTCCTCAGCTAGGGGAAAGGAGCCGGCGCGGTAGCAGCACGTCACACACACACTCTTTGGTTTCCGCAATTACGAGCTTTTCTGGGATTGATACTCTGATATTCTGATTGGTTGTACGTTGTGGTTTTCAGACATGGTTCAGTTTATATTATGATTGATCAAACGATGTTTTAGTTATTAATATTTTCTAAAGTAACGTTTTTAAACAAAAAAATTTTTGGTTGTGAAAATTGGGTCGTTATATTTACAACATACAATATGTGTCATTAATGGGTATAGATGGCATACAATGTGTATCATTAAAGCCCCTGCGATACATGTGTTGGATTAGGTGTCTAAGCCCATAACTATAATTAGTATGTACTTGATTTGATTTGTAGCATGATTTTTTTGGGTTGCCTTCACTCATGCAATTTAACAGGATGACTAGTGGAGAGAGAGAGTTAAATTTATTATTTGGAATAATAAATTAGTGGTTAAATGATTTTATTAATATATTATAAGACTAATATATTATTTGGAAATCATATTATTAATTAGTAATTAATCAGAAATAAATTTGATATTCATTTTGAAATTAAAGGATCTGATTAAATCGAAAATCCTAAGTCCCCAAAAGGGTTAATTGCCACAAACCCTAATCGATCAAATTCAAACAGTTACAATAATATTCAATAGATAACAAGCCAATGCTCTAATACCACTAATAAGTTTTGAGCATAACAAACAAAAACCTATGTGTGCATGTAACCCTAATTAAAGATATATGTTTTCTCTAATTGAACATACGACCTTTAAACAACAAATAAGAAACCATAGTGAATTATCAATAATCTAATATGAGTTAGGATTTACATATCTTGTAGTTATTGTAGTAAATAACTAATTAAAATCTTCTTGAAAAACTCTTGGAAGTAAGCACCACAAGTGTCGTGCCTCTAATGGTTCACATCCGAACCCTAGCAACTAATGAGCTTGGAGAGAGAGAGAGAGAGAGAGAGAGAGAGAGAGGATAAGAGTGAAATTTCGGCCCTAAGTCTCCAAAAGGAAGCATTTGATGGAAATCTAAGGCTATTGGTCTTTTTATAGCTGAGGTAGTTTGGTGCCAAAACTAAAGTTTAAGGAGAAAACCCTAATCCTTTTGCTTGGTGACCAAACAACCCATTCCCCTCTTTCAAGGGGCTTAGACGAAATTCTTTGGGCTTTTCCAAGAGATTTTCGTCCACCCCATCCAATAAGGTCCATGGGCACCTTTCCTCAACTTTCAATAAATGACAAAACATACCCTATACTTTTAATTAATCAAATTAATCCAAAAATTGATTCGAATTAATTTCAATTATTAATTAAATAATATGATTTCCAATCAATATATTATTCTCACAATATATTAATAAATCATTTATTATGATTTTTAATTAATTTATTAACCATATAATAAATTAATAAATAATTTTTTCTCTCTAAAAGCTATCATATTCAACTGCTAGGTTTAAGGGCAACCTAAAAAGACTGTGCTATTATCAATTCAAGTTTACACCAACTATAATTATAGGTTTAGACACATAATCCAACAATTATTGCTAGTTTATGTAATTATTGTATTCTTAATCAGATGCATTTAACATTCCAAAAAAATATAAAGGTACTAGGGTATTAAGTTTTATGATAGACGTACATTATATAACTCAACATATACATCTCACCATCTCATTTTATGATTGAACGCCTATATTAGTAATGAAAAGGTAAAATATATGTTATAGAGAGAAAATGATAAAATTATCATTTTATCAACAAATTCATGTTATTTGGTAAACAAAATTTAGTTTGATAATTATTTGTAAATTATAATAAAATGATAAGATTTCAATGCTTCTTAGTCGGCACTAAAACCGATTAAAAAGGAGAATAAAAAATATAAAATATAAAATATAATTTGTTGCAAAAATATGCAATTTTCCCAAAATATTTGTCTGACCCATTTTAAGTTTTAAGTTTTAACTAATAACCCGACCATTGGATTTTACAAATTTACCCCTTAGAATTTCTTACAGCGACTAACGAGTTTTTACTCCTCTTCGAGCTCGGACTCCATGAACAGATCTTAACAAAACCTTCAAATTTCATGAACCTGAGATGCATAGAATTTTCTCCATCGAATCGGATACAGCGAAAGACATTTTTGAAATTTCAATGTTCTTGCGATAGATTGATTAGAGTCAAATGGACGTGGAGAAATCATCGCTGTGTAATTGCGTGGTAAACTTCTTATTGGAGGAGAATTACTTGTTATCAGCGTTTGAGCTGCTGCACGAGCTCCTCGATGATGGACGCGATGATCAAGCTATTCGCCTCAAGGAATTCTTTGCTGATCCCATTCAGTTTCCACCAGATCAGATCTCACGGTTTAATTCTCTTCGAGGTTGGAACTATTTGCTAAAATTGTTGATATATTGTTATAATTGTCCTTAGTTGACTGAATTTTTGTCTTATAAATTATTAGTAGTGAAATTTGAAATGAGAGCAGGATGTGATGTGAATCCGCAGGGAACTAGGTTTGAAAATCCATACAGACTTCATATGTTTACAATCACTGGTCATGTTGTATGACTGTTGAACTGGTTTTTCGCTTAAGTTTGGCTTGTTATCGTTTGACAATTGCCATTGGAAATGAGAGCCGAGTTTGATCTCAACTATCAACGACTTGATTTTTCTGTAGAGTTATTTAGTTTATGTGTTCGTGTAGGAGATTCATGGTGTGATTTCATGAAAGGCGAACCCTAGAAATAATAAAATTACAAGAATACGATTCTCTTGTTGGCTGATGAAATTTCACAAAGTGAACAAGCTTCATTTGTAAGTCTAGTATATGAGGATCAGTGTATCTGTTACTAATTAGACACTTGTATTTCTAAATTAGATTGCATGCAGTTCATTAGATGTTTTTCTGCTGACATACAGAATTAGCTGTGAATATGGTAGGTTTCTCAATTGAATTTTTATCCTCTTAGAATTTATATGCTCACAATCAAAGCCACTTTAGGAGCATGCATATATTCCTTGTGGTCACTGGTCGAAATCAACCTGAGAATTCTTCATCCTAATAGCCCAAATTAATGTTATCCATTGTTAATTTTGATTAAGCAGAATCAACTTATAGAGTTATAGTTCTTTCTTTACAAATTTGGTTGACTTGTTTTACACTTATACCCATTTAGCAGGAGAGCCTTTGTTCTGTTTGAAGGAATTCTTTTTTTCCAATTCATAAGCTAGTGTAAATCAATGACTTTTTAAGTACATAGCATTTCCCATTTTCAGTTTTCCACTCAAATCTTGGTGTTCGTCTCCTTTCCTTTATCTCTTTACATTATTTTTTTAAATTCTTATCGTTGTTTGGTGATTTTAATTAGATTTGATGTTTATTCCACATCAGTATAAAGTCTGAATCATTTGAATAATCATTGGGATACTACTTGACTATTAATCCAGTTTTACCATGTTGTTGAACATTGATGTTTGGGATTGGCAATCAATTGTGTAGTTCATTACTTGATTCACAAGTGATATCTAGGTTTTTGATCTGATAGACATTTCTTTGTATTAGCTTTTTCATCAAGATTTCTCCTATGGCAAGTAGAGATGAAGAATTTTTTGATTCAGTATTTCAGTTGCACCTACACCAAGTACAACAACAAAATGGTGTAGTTTTCTTTGTAAAACAAATATTTTACTCCCCCTCTCAAGCAGCTTCTCTCTTCCTCTCTCCTGTGCACAAACCAAACCCACATTGTTATATCTATTTATATCATTCTTAATATCTGTTTGCTTTTGTTATATGGCCTCCATTTTCATGTGTCTACCATGAAAAGAAATAGGTTCTCTTATAACATCATAAACAGAATTTAAAAGAAGCTAGAATTCTAGGACATTAAGTTCTGAGTAGCAGTGTCCAATAGCTATGTCACACACTTGTCTAATCCTTGGAACAGAACATCTGTATAACTGCTACAATTTAGCCACTAATAATTTGAATGAAATTGATCGTTTTTAAGCCACTAGGGCCATGTTTCTTTAAATAGTATTATAAGCCTGGTTGTATAAGATTCATATTTGTGAATAAATGCATTTTGGAGACTTATTTATTAATTTATTTGAACTAGTTGCCGACCCACAGAGTCTACTGGAGGAAAAAGAAGCACTAGAGGAGAAACTAGCAATCAGAGACTATGAGAATCGTTTGGCTCAAGAAGACATTTTGAAGCTCAAAACTGAGTTGCAAAAGAAATCTGAGTCCAAACAAGATGAACCAAGTGGTAAAATGCTTAATTCATCTTCTATTTTCATTCAACTTGATGGGTTTTCTTGTTTGTGTGTAAAATACCTCTATGTAGTGTTACAAATGCTGTTTAAATATAAGAACCCATGATCATTTTATTCTATAACCATTAGTCATTTCCCCAATGAATAAGAAAACCATGTTTAGTGTAAATAAAATGATTAAACATCAATTTTATCTACCTTCATGAAAGAAGCTTCCTTACATTTATTGTTTTCTGAAATTACTTTCTTCTACAATATGTAACTTATGATGTATGCAGATGCTAAAGCAAAAAACGGGTCAAGTATTCAACAAAGTGGGGAGACAAAATTCTCTGATTTGGGTCCTTTAAAGGCAGAAGAACGTCATGACCTAAACTGTGCTGTAAAGGAATATTTGCTCTTAGCAGGATATCGTTTAACTGCCATGACCTTTTATGAAGAGGTTAATTACTTTTGCTACTTCATATCTCATATGTTTCATTTGTACTTATGAAACATACATGCTACATTTAAAAAAGACAACATATGATTTTGGATTTTTTTCAGGTTACTGATCAGAATCTAGATGATTGGGAGAATTCATCTGCATCTGTGCCAGATGCTTTGCGCCATTACTATTATCAGTATCTTTCTTCCACTACAGAAGCAGCTGAGGTAATTTAATTCTTCAAGCACTTTGCTTTATGTTCACACAACTTGCATCCCATGTATTTGTTAAAGGGAGAATTTTGTATGTACCCTTATTATACATCAAAATATCGTGTTTGCACAACTTAATTTCTAAATATCTTATTTACCCTTCATAAAACTTTAAAATATCGTACATGCCTTCTTTAATATCAAAGTATCATATATGCCCTTCTTAAATATCAAATATATGCCCTTCTTAAACATCAAAATATCATATTTGCCCAACTTAATTTTTAAATATCATATTTACCCTTCATAAAACTTTAAAATATCGTACATGCCTTTCTTTAATATCAAAATATCATATATGCCCTTCTTAAATATCAAATATATGCCCTTCTTAAACATCAAAATATCATGTTTGCCCAACTTAATTTCTAAATATCATATTTACCCTTCATAAAACTTTAAAATATTGTACATGCCCTTCTTTAATATCAAAATATCATATATGCCCTTGTTAAATATCAAATATATGCCCTTATTAAACATCAAAATATCAATAGCAATATCTTAAATATAATCCATCTACAATATGACAATATTCAACAATATCAAAAACTAAGCAATCAATGCATACATTCCATGTAGAGAGCTGAAGATGAAGTGTTTTGTTTGTCAAGAGAGCAACATTCCAACAATTTAGAAGTAGAAGTTCAATTATTATAGACGTATGGATAAATATGATTAAAAGCTTTAATTATTATAATAATTATAAGATATAAAAAATGATTATAAACTACTATTAAAGTGAATATATCAAGAAGTACCTCATTTTTTTCAGGAGAAGCTTTCCATGCAAAAAGAGAACGAATCATTGGTGAAAGAAAACGAGAAGCTGAAACATGAAAAACAGACCTTATTAAGAAGCAGAGATTTAGTTGATTCACAAATAGCAACACTAAAAAAGTCACTAGAGACTTTGCAGAAGGATATCAAGGAGAAAGATAATCAGGTTCAAGATGTAAAGCACTCACTGGAACAAAGAAGAAAAGAAATAACTGTCTACAAGGCTGAAATAACCTCACTTCAAAAGCAAACTGAAGCAGCTCAATCAGAACATGTGCCACCTGGCGATGTAGAAGATGAAGAAAGCTACAAGGAACAAATACAATCTCTACAACAGGAGATTGAAAGACTACATGCTACAAAATCTGGTGACACCACACCTGTAAAAAATGTTGAAGAAATAACCGATAGGAAAGATGAAGTCATAAAATTATGTGAAAACGACATGATATCATCTTCAACCAACGTGAGAGATCAAAACACTGCTGATAAACATGAGGAATTTTCTAAATCAGATGATAGAGATGTGGCTAAGGATCTCCTTAAAGACAATATGCAAGTCAAAACTGATAATGGGTTGACTCCAGAGTCAAACACTCCTGTTCAACATGATTCTAAAAAGGTCTCTTTTTGAGTTTTGAAGTTTGAACCATTCAGATTCTTTCAGGATTCACCACTTGTTTTTTTAGTAATCTTTTTATATATGCAAAATTTTAACTTTTCAGGGTCCTGGAACTATTCAGATTCTTTCAGATGCATTGCCTAAAATCGTTCCTTATGTGCTAATCAATCATCGAGAGGTTACTTTTTACTTTACATCTATCTTCCTACTTTTTCTTCATAAAATTTCAAAAAAAATACAAATCTTCTTGGGTTAATTGTTTGTTAAATTCCTTATAGGAGCTTCTTCCCTTGATGATGTGTGCAATTGAGAGACACCCAGATAGCAACACAAGGGATTCCTTGACACACACATTGTTTAACTTGATTAAACGCCCAGATGAACAACAAAGGCGAATTATTATGGATGTATGTTTTTTTTTTTAACACTTAACAAATTTCATTTTTATATAATAAGTATATTCTCTTAGTACTAAAATCATAACATATTTTCTTTTCAATTCAGGCCTGTGTCACACTTGCTAGGAATGTTGGAGAGATGCGAACAGAAACAGAGTTGCTTCCCCAATGTTGGGAGCAAGTGAGGATAAAAAGATTTCATTTTATTGTGTTTATAGTTTTGTGATTTATTTATTTAATTTTATTTAATTTTATGCAGATTAGTCACATGTATGAGGAACGCAGGCTGCTTGTAGCTCAATCATGTGGGGAGCTTGCAGGATTTGTGAGGCCAGAGATTAGAGACTCCCTCATCCTATCTATTGTGCAACAGCTCATAGAGGATTCCGCCACTGTAGTTCGTGAGGCTGCTGCAAGAAATCTGGCTCTGCTGCTTCCACTCTTCCCAAATATGGATAAATATATCAAGGTCAGCATCAGCCTCAGCCTCACTAAATATGATTCCAGAGGCTATCAATGGAGAAACAAAGCTTTCCATTTCCTACAATGTAAGCTATAACATGGTCTAAGGGAATGTCATGTCATGTCATGTCACCATTTTCCCATGATCATAATATGCCCAGTGACTTACAACAAAAATACAAAACCAAACTGTAAAAAAAAATAAAATAAAATTATGATACTCTGTTTTCCCGATATATTTTTTTTGTTTTTTTTAGGTGGAGGAAATGATGTTCCATTTAGTTTGTGATCCATCGGGAGCAGTTGTGGATACAACTATTAAAGAGCTAGTTCCTGCTGTGCTCATGTGGGGTAACAAATTGGATCATATTTTACGAGTTTTGATTTCTCACATGTTGAGCTCTGTAGAGGTAAACTTAAATCCAATAAATACTTTCATTTCATTTCATTGATTTGTTTCTTGTTTATTATTGCATCATACTTTCATTTTTTCCTATTACAACATTATACTTTGAAAAATCTATTCCGTTATAGCAATGTCATCCAGATACAAATAATTGAGTAGGTTTTTCAAAGTATATTGTTGCAATAAGAAAAAAATTGGAAGTAAAGTGCTATAAATTATAATTAGGTAGATTTTTCAAACTACAATGCTGTGATGACTAATAGGTTTAATCTCATAAAATACCTTATATTATGTGTTTTTTCCGGATTAAACCTCAACTTTCTTTTTTTTTACTGAAAACAACCTTGCATTTTTTCATTTTTTCCGATCTGGCCCTTTTAATCATTTTTTTTTCTGAAAAAACTTGTAAAATGCAAGGTTTTTTTTTTGAGAAAAACAAAAAATTGAGGGTTTATTTGGAAACAGTTAGAAGGTTAAGGGTTTTTTTTTTTTTTTTGGAAAAAATGAAAAAATACAAGGTCTTTTTCAGGAAAAAATAAAGATGAGGTTTAATCTGGAAAACCATAAAATATAAGGTCTTTTATGAGATTAACCATAAGTCCATAACTAAGAAGAAAAAAATTGAAAGTACTAGGTTCTAATAGAAAGAAATGAAAATAGGTTGTTATAAGTGAATACACAAATAAATGAAAGTAGGTTAATTTTTCTTACTTATAGCAAAATAGCAATTTTGTACATTTAGCACTTAAATTAATACTTTCTATCTTTTTAGTGTTGTCCACCTGTTTCAGGGGTTGAAGATTCTGTAGAGTCACACTTCCATGTTTTAGGTGAAAGAGAACGATGGACTGTTGATGTGTTACTTCGGTTACTGATGCAATTGCTTCCAATTGTACACCAAATAGCTATCGACACTTGTTCATATGAGTCTTTTTCAGAGTCTACAGGAACATTTTTTTCACTTCAATTGCTTCAAAAGTATGCAGAGTAAGTTCCAAGTTTCAACACACCTCTCCTGTTTATTTAAAATCATAAACACCCACTTTATCTTTTCTAAATTATATTTATTTATTTTTTAACAGGGGACGTTTAGATTGGCCTACATTTGAGTGGCTTCATGATGATTGCTTTCCCAGTCTGATTCAGATTCTCTCTCTCTTACCACAAAAGGAAGATAGTTTAAGAAAACGCATCTCAAGTGTACAGAATATTTCCAACTTTATTTTTTTTACTTTTTTACCCTTACTCATATCTTAAACAAACCCTTATTCATCATTATTTCATTACCTCAGTTTTTACTAGCAGTTTCCACAAGATTTGGGGAGGATTATTTAACACATATAATCCTTCCTCTATTCTTAGTGGCTGTTGGCGATAATGCTGACTTGTCATGCTTCCGCTCCACATCCCAACCTAAAATTAAAGGTACAAACTTATTTAGTTATTTTCCTTTTTTTTTTTACAAAATATTCCATACTAAATATTTTTTTATTTTTTCAGCTCTAAGACCAATAATTGCTATGGATGCAAGAATTGCCACCTTGTGTGTCCTACCAGTTCTATTAGCAGGTGTCCTCGGATTCCCTAACAAACATGAACTATTAACTGAATACTTAAGGAATCTGTTGATCCAAAGCGCTGACAAGACAACCCAGTCAGCAATCCACAGTGCTGACGTGTACAACTCTGTCCGTTTCCTTTGGTGCGTATTCCTTCATTTTTCTTTAAATCAAAACTACTTCTGGGATTGGATTGGATTGGATTACATTATTCTGTTTTGCAGCTTGTTTGAAGAACACCATAATCTGGTTTTCAATATCTTATGGGAGATGGTTGTGAGCTCCAACATGGATTTGAAAATTAACGCTGCTAAGCTTCTGAAAGTGATTGTAAGTCGATTTCTTTTTGACTTTTTTTTTAATGTTGCCTTTTTAATCTCTTTGATTTTGAATAGGTGCCTTATATTGATGCTAAAGTTGCTTCATCACATGTTTTGCCTGCTCTTGTGACTTTGGGCTCTGAACCAAACTTACATGTGTTGTATGCAAGCATCGATGCGTTTGGAACTGTAGCTCAAAACTTCAAAAATGATGTTGTAAGTTAATTACTAACATGTTATTTTTTTTCTCCTTTAGGAATAAATTCAATAGCAACCTAACTTATATATGTATATATTCTGGTAGATTGTTGACAAAATACGTGTTCAAATGGACGCTTTTCTTGAAGATGGATCTCATGAAGCTACAATTGCTGTTATTCGTGCATTAGTAGTTGCTGTTCCACACACAACCGAGAGCCTAAAAGATTATATCCTTTAATCTATAACTATACATTTATATTATTTATCAAAATAACTTTTTAATTTTAATTTTCTTTGACAAAAGAGCACATTTGTTATCAAAAATATTTCATCTTTCTTCAGCTCAACTCCCCGTAACCAACATGGTGCGACGCCGCGATCGAGCCAACGCATTTTGCGAAGCTATCCGTGCTCTCGATGCTACAGGTTTACTTTCATTTTACTATAATAAATAAATAACCGAAAGTAAAATTACGAAAATGTCCTCCTGCCACTCTTTGCAGATCTTTCATCAGCGAGTGTACGCGATCTCCTCCTGCCAACAATACAAAACCTATTGAAAGACACGGAAGCGCTCGACCCAGCGCATAAAGAGGCGTTAGAAGTGATAGTAAAAGAGAGATCGAGTGGAACTTTTGATGCATTTAGCAAAGTGATGGGGACTCAATTTGGACTCCCGACCTCCATGACAAGTTTCTTCAGTGAAGGTGGACTTTTAGGAAAGAAGGATTCAGGAGAAATCCCACCACCACCACCACCCGACCCGAAAAATGTCATTAACCCACAATCACCCGTTGAAGACACAAGATTCAGGAGAATCATGCGAGGTGGTTTTACTGATATGCTTCGGGGGAAAGGTAAAAATAGCGATGAGCTTTCACCCCCACATTAAGATCTTTTTTGTTTTTTCTTGTAATTCTTATGATTTTTTTTAAAAAAAAAAAAAAAAACTTCTATTCTTTCTATAAACATTAGATCGATTAATTTTGGTTTCGTAAATCAGAATTTTTATTATGATGTTTTTTAAAGCGGTTCACACATGAACCCGTTACTTCTAAATTTGTACATGTCATCCACAACGCTACTTTTATCCCTCAAATACTGTTAAAGTCAGAATTGTAAAATCATCATATATGATCATGATTGTGATTTGTGAATTGGTTAGCTGTTTAACATAGATAGTAATGGTTTATCGGTAGCGAAAGAAAGTAAGTATTATTGTGGTTTGGAATGTCGGCTAGTTGGATTGGAGTCATCTAAACTAACTAATATTCAAGTTTGGGGTGAAAAAAAAAACAAAATTTAATATCCTTTTATCTTTTGTTCGTACTGATCTTCTTAATCATGGTTTTCTATATATAAAATTAAAAGAATGGAATCGCACCTAGATACTGAAATTGGCTATAGGTTTTATTGATTAAGTGTTTTAATATTTAAAAGTTATTAACATGATTTCATTATTTCTGTTGAAAAGTAAAATAATAAACATGTGTATTTGTATATATATCTCTCTTTAGTAAAATATTTATTGTTAAATGATAAAGAGACAAAAAAGAATGATAAAAAAATAAAAAATAAAACATAGACAACGTTTTTATTCCAAAATGCAAAAATGTTTATGTTTTTGTAATTTTTTTTAAATAAAAAAAATTTGCATTTGGTTTTACTTACAAAATGTAACATATGTGCATACTCTTTCCATCTCATCTTGCATCATTTACTCGATCTTTCCATTTCCTCTTCTCCGATTGGTTACTTTGAATTTACACCAAGACTATGTAATAATGAAACTTTTTAAAATAAATTATTTAATATTAAAAAATCAGAAAATAATTATAAAATTTATGGGAAGTGATATGTGTGGCGGATGTGGTCCAATGGCTACTGGCGGGAACAACCCTTACGGCGGTGCTTGTGCTCACCTCCGCCGCCAGGGATGGAATCACGCCTCTCTCTCTCTTCCTTTTTTTTTTTTTTTTTTTCTTGATATGTGTATATATGAAAATAAATAAATGAGGGAACCGTGAAGAAGGGCGTAACTTAAGCTGAAGACAAAATTGCAAGAATGGTCCCTGTGGTATGTCAAAACTAACAAGTTTGGTCTAAAATGAGTTTGACATGTAAGGATGGTCAAATAGTTTCTTTTTGTTGCGAGTTTGGTCCAAAAATTTTAAAACTTTTTATAATGATAGATTTGCCCTTGGTATTTCCCCATTTTCAATTTTTTTATTATAAAAATAAAAAAAGAAAAAGAAAAAAAGAAAGTCTCTCTCTCTCTCACACACACACACACACTCTCTCTCTCTCTCTCTCTATATATATATATATATATATATATATATATATATATATATATATATATATATATATATATATATATATATCTGTGTGGCCCCTTGTATGTTCTTAACAAATCAAGACTCAACCTTGATTTCATGAACTAAATAACGAACTTCAAGAACTCAAGAACGATCTTCAAGTTGTAAACCTAGATGAAATTGACTTTTAAGATCGGAGTAGATGTGAAATCTTTCAAGATCAAACTATGTGTGTAACTCTTCTTATCCCTCTGATGAACATTTTTCAGTGAGTGTAGAACACAACACACACATAAACACACAATGGGTGTTATACATTCTTGATTTTGGATATGAAATAAAACCCAAATCCAAAAGTTGAAGGTGAGTATGTTCTTAGTTCCAAATCCGAAACGAAGATGAAGAAGGGTAGATTTGAAACAAAAACCACACACAAAACCCTACCTGAAATGAAAACCCACCATCAATTCGAATGAAAGGTAGATCGACGAGAGCTTCGATGCGGCTGAGAAATCGCGATGAAGTGCAAGGGGGTCCGTCGAGAACGACAACCCTTTGTGGGTTTACTCTTCATCTTCGCTGATCGGGAGAGGGAAGAAGTAATACGAATGGAAGTAGTCAAAATGGTGGTCTGGTGGTCAAACAGATCACGCAAAGGGATTCGATTTCCGGTGATCTCCTATTGGCTCTCCTCTCTTCGTTAGCATCCACAAATCAAGGGGGAAAGGGAAACGACTGGATCGAAGGGAGAAGGAAGAAGAATGGAATCAGAACATAGGTGTTTGGTTGAGGGAAACAAATAGCGAAGTAGCAGCTGAGAGAAGCGGCGATCCTCAGGGGGTGTATTCCGATCGACAACAAGGAGGGGTGGAGAAGGGCTGTCGGTACACCTTTTTGTCGCCAGTGGTGTGTGTGTGTGTATATATATATATATAAAGAGATAGAGAGAGAGAGAGAGATTAAGAGAGAGAGAGAGGGAGAAAGAAAGAAAGAAAGAGAGAGAGAGTAGTTTATTTTTGTTTTATTTTCAATTAATTTTTAATTGTTGGTAATACAATAAAAATGAAAAATTAAATAATAAGGGATAAAATCGTCTTTACAAAAAAGTTCAAATCAAATTGGACCAAACTCGCAACAAAACGAAACTATTGGACCATCCTTGCAGGCCAAACCATTTTGGATCAAACTTGCTAGTTTTGACATACCACAGGGACCATTCTTGCAATTAACATAGGAGTAAAAGATTGAGTGGAAAAGAAATAGTGCTTCCGTGACACATAAAAGATTAAAAGGTGAAACCGTGAAAGAGAGATATAATACCAAACCTTAGAACGGAACAATGTTTTAAAACACATAAAAAATGTATGAATGATTTATTTTAGTTATGAAAAATACTGATATTATATTGTTCTGATACAATTAATTTTGCACTAGACTAGTTTATTGTTCAAATTATACAACTCTATATTTAATGAAGTCGAGATGATATTAAAATGAGAAATAAGTGTTTGAACTGTTAAGGCCAGATGATGCGTGAGGGAAGTTTTTCTCACTTTTCGTATGTCACATCATCATTTCCTTCATTTTTCTTATCCTCAACAAAAGCCAGTGTGTGTGTGAAGCTTCCTTCATTTTTTTTAAATAAAAAGAATTGATTTTTATGATTTATAATTTTTTTAAATAAGTAATAAACATAAAATTAATTAAAAAGTAAAAACCACTACATTAATTAAAATAAAAATTATATAGAAAAACTAAGATTTAAATAACTAGGAAAAACAAGAAACAAATAGAACAAACAAACAAACAACAATCTACATAAAATATTTGTGTATAATCCGTTCATTTCTTCAATACAAGCTCTATAGCCGGTCTCGAAAGATAATCGATCTTTTCCATCAAGAAGCTCATATACTCCATTTGTTGTCTCTCCACGTGCTCCTTCTTTTTTGTTTTTTTTTCTTTGGCGAACGCCAAACGTTCAATGAAATTAAAATTATATTGATCAAATGGCTCCGTCATTCTCCGCATTTTGTCCGTACCCATGCTGAAATCCGATGCACTTGAAGAAGTCTCATTTCCCTTCCTTTTTTTGCTTTGTCCCTACCCAACGGTCGGACAGTTTTTCTTCTAGCTCGAGTTCGTCATCCTCATTTAAATCTAGATCGACCTGAACATTGGAGGAAGTTGTGTAACCACTAGAGCTCATTTTTGATCGCTTTGATTATTATACTGCAAGTATAAAGTCTTGCTCGTATTTTTTCCACCTAGGACTTTTAATCAATATTTTCCAACAATCGTGCCACTTGAATGATTTTCCCACTTCCTCTAGAAAAAAATGCAAAACTTCTTGAAATATTTCTTCATCTCCTTGGTTGTTTTTCCGTTGGGTTTTTAGGTTATTGTACAACCCATTCATTTTTGAAACGACCTTAGCTATTTCTCAAAACTTTGAATTCAGTTGATGATTGATACGGTACTCATTATCTTTTCCCATCTCCTTGCGGAACCTCTCAAGAATGAGACACCAAAAATGGTCACCCGGTTGTGTATTTCCCGTCAGTGAATCCTCTGAAATGTCAACCCAAGCTTTTACCACACTTATCTCTTCTTGTGGAATCCATGCTTGCGTCTTCTGTCTTCCCAGTTGTGCAATACCCTCCTTCAATTGTTGTTTTCCTTTGCGGTGTTGGGGAGGGGGGTGGGGTTGAGTTTCCCGTATAATCTCTTCATCCAACTCATCGAAAATTTGGTATTGTGGTTGAGATTGAGAGGGTTGTGTTTGGATTTGGGTTTGAAAGACTGAGATTTGAGTTTGGGGTTGATTTGGCGAAAGTTGATCGGGAAAAACAATAAAATTTGATAACATATTTGGAGTAACATTTGAAACTTGCATCAGGTAACATTGCATAATATTTTGATATTGGAATTGTAGTGAAGATTGAATGAGAGCATCGAGTTATGGACGATAAACCCCTTGAGATGAATCGATAGCGAAAATGCTTCGAGTTGGGTACTTGAACTCGAAATATTGATTTTTTTCTTCTCTCGAAGTTTGGGGTTTGATTGTCTAATTTTTTTGAAGAAAGTACAGAGAAATTGATAGAAAGAGGTGCGAGTTTGAAGGTTAAAGCGTATGTATATTTATATATGTTGTAGAGGGTAAAAAAAAATTAAAAACTCAATTTCCTATATCTAGCCGTTAGTATTTTTTTTTTAAAATTTATTTTATATATATATATATATATATATATATATATATATATATATATATATATATATATATATATATATATATATATATATATTACGATTTTTTAACAATTAGATTTAAAAAATAAAAAACCGGCCAATAAGAGAAAGACAGAGATTGTGGCAACCCACCCCCCACCTACTCCCCACATCGTCGTTCCCGCACTCCCGATGCGGTGTTCCAGTGAGCAGGAAAGGGTCTTGCTGCTCTTCCCTCAGGTGATCCGTCAGGTCTAAGTGGTTGAAATAACTGATCATAAAATTCTCATCTCCAACTATAAAGAAAAATGAAAACTATTATTTCAAACAAACTCTAATTTAATTAGTTTAATAACTATTGTGATCCATATATAACAACCTTTTCACATATACACCAATTCATGATTTAGATGGTTATATAGTTTTATTAACCCTCTAAAATAT